AATAGAAATAATTTTTTAATGTTTTCTGGAGAAAGCAAGGCTTATTCTGTGCTCATTTAAGTGTTTTTTTGATGTGGATGGAATACAGAGAAAATATTTTGGTTCTCTACTAGATTCTGTATATGTGGAATTATAAAATACCGAGTGCATTGGATGTATTCTGTTTTATAAGGTTTTTTCAAACCAGAAGCAGCACTCTGGGAAAAAGATGACATAAGAAAACTATGTAGTCAGTTTCTCATTATGTGTGTGAAAGGATGTTTGTAAAATGTGATGTAATTTCTTTGCCTAGAACTTTCAGGATATCTTGAGATGTGCCTATGGACAGAGGAGTTTATTATTTCATGCTCTCACAGGAATACTAAAATCAGTATAGGTGTCATCCTGATAGAAATAAATAAATCTGATTAATCAGACCATAGTTGTACGTGCACCAAGATTTCAGTTAACTTTGTACAGATAATTAAATAAAAAACCCCACCAAAGTAAGCTGTGAGTTTCCATTGCTTTGTACTGGCATTCTGGCCTCTACAAACTCAGTTAGCTTCAGGCTGAATTTGCTACTTTCAAGACTTAAAGTGTTATTCTTTTCCATCTAAGGTGAAAATGCCTATTTTGCTAAAGAATGCAGTCTGATAGTCCGGCCTGTTTTATTGGCTGTGAGTTTGTAACCTGGTACCACTGCTCATGATCAGGCTCTAAACTGAAGGGTGTGCTACCTTCAGTAGTCCTTCAAGGTATTTCCATGTCAGACTGGATGTGATGCTCTTCTGTTAAGTGCTTTAAATTTTTTATTTCAGCTTGGGCATTTTTGTAAAAGCTGGAGAAGACTGATATGTAAGATGGCATGATAGACTTTGACTGAAGTGTGAAAGTCTGTGTTACAAGTTCTGAAAGTGGACTGCTCAAGCTAGAAATGCTTAGCAGAGCTTTGCTCTGGATGCACCATATAGTTTATCTGTATTTTAGTTCTTGAACACAAAACTTCATTAAAATTTGCAAATAAACAATTCCAGAGATACCTCATCAGATGACATGGGGCAGAAAGACACAGTTGGCACATGGCAAATTGTTTCTGTGCTGATTCATCTGCGTGCAAGAGAAGAGGAAATGAGGAGTGCTGTCATCAGCTGAAACTACAGGGAAATTTTCTTCAGTAGGAACTGATAAAACAGATTGTGATTTAACATACTCAGCATTCAACTAAGAGATCAGAAAGCTGTTTTATGTGGATCAATCATTGGCTGAAAAAATAATTTCAAAGCAGTAGAAGTGATCTGTGAGTAATTATATCCTACAAAAAAAACCCAAAAAAAACCAAAACCAACCCAACCCCAAAAAAAACCCAAAAACAACAACCAGAAAAAAACAACTCTCAAATGGTTAAATTTAGCATTTCGACAGTGAACCATTTTTATATGAGAGTAGGTTCACAAGAGGAGGAAAAAAGTAGTGATAATGATAGTACTATTTCTCCTGAAAACTTCCCATGATTTCAAATAACCAAAAGATACAGGAATTCAACATCTGGTATGGGCATAACATCTGTTATGCCTTTGCGCTTTGGTCTGTTTGAGCTTAATACCCTACTAATGACTAATTATTTGTAGTTGTTTTAATCACAGTATCAGAAATATTTTACTATTAGTAGGCAAATGTACCATGTGTTCAAAATTTAAAGGTTTATTTTTAAAAAACAGATCATGCCAATTTTTGTGATTCATTAGGAAGCTTACCAATGTCACTTTTTAATAAGACTGTCTTAATTATGAAATCTCTAAGATATGCTTTTAGAAACTCTGGTCTGTAGTTTCCAAATTTGGAGCTCATAGAAGATGGGAACCTGTTGATAGTCAATTTTGTGAGAGAGACTTGTACTTTTTTTCTTTTTTTCTCTTGAGGGTTTTTTTATTATTTCTATAAATAAAACTGCTCAGGCATCCTTTTATATGGATGCATTTTACTCAGATTCTATGCTTAACAGTTATGAAGCAAAGGGAGCCTGAGATGCAGTGTTTGTGGCTATGTGCTGTGTGAATGTTTCATGGGAAAACGTTTGGGAACAGGCAGAGGTGATAAGGTTATGTGTAAGGATTTTTCACAAATTGATCAAGTACCACCCACAGAGTTTTGGCTATTTTGCTTGACAGAAAACAAAGATGAGCAATTATGGTTTGCTGTTTGTGACATCATTTTATAAGCTAAATTTAATTTTCTCCTGAACATCCGCTGGTAATGTCATGGTAATAACTTCCTATTGATTAATTAAATCTGTTCCTTCTCCTTCTTATTTGTAACTTGCATGAAATGTGGATTTATGTTATTACTAATGGTCTGTGAATGTAAATGCTGTACACATTTTAATTTTCTTCTTTGCTTTGCTCAGCAGTAACAATTTAAAATTTATTGCCTTATTTTGAGAGAATAAATTTTAATAAGCTATAGCTCTGATTCTCAGAATATTTTGGGTTTTGTTTTTTTTTTTTAATATGAGACATTTTTACATTGCTGGTGACATACAGAATTGTTGTTCATGAATTGGTAGAATTTCAAGTACTTTGAATGGGGCTAATTTGAAGGAAAGACAATTTTTAATTCTTGAAACTTTTAATTTGAAATAGACTTGGAGTAGAAAGACTTTCTTTAAAAGGAACTTAATTTAAAGTGAAATGTTGTGCTGAATGAAAGTGTTGGACATCAGCTGACTTACATCCAAAAGTAAAGGAAATCTTTTGAGACTAGTGTCCCTCCTTTACAGCAAGTTTTTGGCATTTGAGTTTTGTGTTAGATTTCAGCTATTTTGGATCCTTTGATGAGCTGGAGGAGATTGTAAAGTTAGATATTAGGAAAGATTAAAATATAAAGCAGATCACCTTAAAATTATAGCAACATACTTGATGTCTGACAGTGTTTAAAGAAGTCTCTACAAAAAAGTAACCATTTTGGACACAAGTTAGATAAGTTGAAAATTTGAAGTGGTCTTTTTTCATTTCTCTTACAAATTTTGAAAGCTCAGTTATTTGCTTATCTTGTTTAAGTTTTGACAAATATCAAGGTCTTTGCCTTACTTCTGTAAATGCTTTTATGTGGTATTGTGCTTCTAAGTCTTTGAATATGTAACAGAAAAATCTCAATTTGCTGCTTAACCCAGTAAATGATAAAAGGACTTTTCCACTACTCTGACTTGCAATGCTGGTGGCAGTTAACTGAGATACAAAACATTATTTTGTGGCCTATTTGATATATTGAAGTTTGGATCAATTTTACTGTAGGACAAAAGTGATGAGCTTTTGTAGCTTACCTTTTGCTCTCTTTACTGAATCGATAGCTTTCCTCCTTGGGTTGAAATAATCTTTCTTACTTCAGACCTTAACTGACAATGCTATGATAGAAGAAATCAGTGGAAGAAGTTAGTGATGTCAGTGAATACCATGGTACTATCAAACCTTGAGATGGGTTCCCTCTGGCTTTGTAGCATTGTCAGTAAAGGTGTGAAGTGCATGCCTGGGTATGTGCCCCTGTCTCTACTAAAGTCATGTTCTGCACTGCATGGGTTCTTTCCTGGGGGCTTGAGACCTGTCCTTGCAGAATGTAAGTGCACAATGGAACTTTTAACACAGAGAGGGTTGTAAGACTTTCTTCTTTGCTGTCTTACTTCAACCTCAGAAAGTCTCTGCTTTCGGCTGTTTGCCACCACACAGGACTATGCAAGATGGCACTGAAGACACAGGAATGTTATTGCAGATAATGCAGCAGTAAAAGTTCACAATAATATTGATATGATTTAGGATTACTTAAATTTAAAATAGTTACATTATCATCATAGCAGTATTTAACCCATCATTCTCTGATCCTATGTGATTCAAAGGCAGGGTTATTATGCATGTAAAACATTCTTGACAGAAACTCATCAACATACCTAGGTGATCTTGTAAAAGTCTGCTAATAATTCTGCCTAGCAATTTACATTCTACAAGATCAGTTTAGAGACTTAGGAGATGTTTTTTAATGTTTGACAATTATTTTAATACTCTCTCCTTTGAAAATCTGTTCAGTCTTACAACATAATATTTTGACCACATTGTAAATATTGTGTATTTTAACTACATCAGGTGAGACTAAAATTTTCCCTTTGCATAGCTAATGGATATTTTCATGGGCTGTCAATAAATTCCAGAGAAATAGTTTCAATATAACCATTTAAAAGGCTTATTTTATAAGAAGTTTTCAAAGAAATCTCAATAAATCATTAATTACTCAGGTAAAGTTGTTGTGAATGACTTTCTAATGAATTAGTAATGATCTAACCTTTCATGACTCAAAAACACCATTGAGAACTTTGAGGCACAGACAAAACCAAATTGGTGGGGAAGATCATGCTCTCTCAGTTAGGCTGAAGCAAAGTTTACACATCAAAGTTATTTCTCTCAATGTTACATTGTGTGGATCTTCTCTGTTGTTTCCTTCTCCCATTTTCTGAAGGAATCAATTTTTCAAAAAGTACCATCACTGAACAAACAACTGAAAACTACCTTTTTAAATAATGAAATAAAAGGTTAATTCATACTAAACAAAGGTTTGATACTATGAAGTTGGAAGGAGCACTTATGATTGTCTAGTCACAAATTTTTCATTCATATGATTATTCTGAACTAATTTCTTTGTCAACCAGAGCTATCTTTTTGGAGAAAATGCCCCTCATTAATTGTATTTATTCAAGCTTTAATTCAAGCCCTAGTAGTATACATGTAGCTCTTCAATCATATGCACTTTAAACACATACCTAAAGACTGCTAAGATTTCCCTTATTGCCTCATCCATCACAGCTGGAATTCTCTCTTAGGTCAGAACAAATTGAAATGTTATGAGTTGGACCTGGTACAAAAAGCAAATTTGAGAGTCCTTGTGTGTATGCATATATATGTGTAGATTTTTTTTACTTAATAGCCTGACTTTTGGCTATCCTGTCTATCTTATGGTGTGGTTCCATTTAAATGAAGACAAAGGCAGCCGAATCTTCAAATGATGTTTCTGTGTTCAAGGATGTTGGCAGAAGTGAAGAACTGCAGAGGCCCTCTGCTTCTTTCTCAGCAATGAGTTCAAGAAGGAAGGCAGAGAATGAGAGTGGGTCAGCTGTGCATAGTGTGGGACAGCACAGAGGCATCTCCTCCTCCGTGAACTGTGCTTTGGACCACATTGTGGGGCAGCTGGAGATGTTAACTCTAGTAAGTATGCAATAACAAGTGATGCTTGCTGTGCAAAATGACAGTGCTATCAAAGGACAACAGTACTCTGGAGTCATGTTCATAAATCAGAACATTAAAGACTATGGGGCTATTTTGAATAGCTCTGTAGTCAAGTGACTGTTTTAGTGTTTTCCTTTCAGAAAATACTGATTGCATGTATTGTGTTTGCTAAAGTGAAAGCTTCCTGGTACATTATCATAAAGATTGTTGCTGTATTTTTAACTCTAGATGAAGAGAATTGCTGTTTTTCAGTAGTTAGATCTAGGTAGTTTTGTCAGAAGCCAGTTGTTTAGCAGACATTCCAGCTGGAACAATCGTGCACTAGCAGGGGATGTACAAAGTAAATTGGCCATGTACCATTAAATCCCTTTCCCAACTTAGTGTGTGAGGTGCTGGCTTAGGTAGGAATCCTGCAGTGCAGTAAGTCCTCGTGCAAATGAAACTGCACAAATACTCAGTCTCAGTCAGTGACTCTGACTCGCTTGCAAATGCTCAATACAGCTTTTTAATCCAGATTTAGCTTATGTTTTCAGATATTTCTTTGTAGTCTGTAATATATTGACATTAAATCATTTCAAAATGGAGCTGCTAAGGGTTTTTTTTTCTGTGTTCTTTTACAATATATATATGTTGATTTGGAAGAAACAAGTTTTGGGAAGTATGGAGTCAAGTCATGAGTTGGAAAGGATTTGTGTAGTAAGTTGTAAAAGAAACTGCTAGCCTGCGTCCAAAGACCTACTTCTGCTGAAGATAATATCTTGGAGAATAAATGCCTTTTAATAGTATATTTTTTTCTCACTTCCTTTTCTTAGAGATGCCATAAAAGTTTCTTTTAGTTTTTCATTTGTGATCACAGTGATGGCTGTTTTTCTATTGAAATATGCATGCAACTTTCACATAGTATTTCAGAGTACTTTACATTATACGTGTATGTATTTCTCTTTATTATTGAAAATGTTTTGTGAAAACAAAAACCTTTAGACAATTTCCATGGAGGCAAAACCATAATTTTAAAATACAGTTGTAAATAGTGGAATAGCTAAGGAGAAACCATCTTATAGTATTTTTTCCTATTGAGTTAAAATTCCTTTTCTTATGTTGCACACTTTTATAATACTGTGTGAGTAATATAAACCCAATTGAAATTATTCTCTTCTTCATGCAGACTATTTCAGGCCTGGAACAACGTCTTACATGTACAGAAGATAAATTGAAAAAATGCATAAAAGATCAGCAAAAAATGTTACCGAAGGGAAAACAGAACTAATAAAATATGAAAATGAACTATGTTGATGAGTATGCTTCTTAAAATCACAAGGAATGTTTCTTCACTGGATTTTGCTATAAGCAGAAACATCAAATCAAAGTGCTAAAAATGGAAGAAATTAAAAAAAAAAATTTCAAACATTGATAGCAAGCAGATATTCTGATTATCTATTCAATGAAGTGTAGCCCAGTCAAAACTAATGCTTTCTAAATAATTTCTATTGAACATTCCAGAACTCTTATTTCAATCTAAGAAGATCTTTGAATATAACTAAGCCACTAACTTGTATTTTTAGATGAATAACAGTTATTACGCAGGTTACCAATGTGCAGATTTTTAAATTCACTCAAGGATTGTGAAAATAATGTTCTATGCACTAAAACAACATTACTCATTGATACTTATTGATATCATCATGAATCATAAGACAATCATAAGAAATCATCATGAAGATCATAAAACAAAACACCTAAATTAAGTAAGATATAATACAAAAATGCCAGAGGTGTTCTTTGTCCCTTACATATTCTCAAGTGTTTTACCAAAAAGTAGTTTGTTATTCTATATCTTCTAAACATTTTAGTAATGATTGCAAGAAGATGTAGTGTGAAAACTTTTAGTTACAAATGCAGAAATTAAGTCACACTTTGAAGCTATAATATCATCTATGTGAATTCAGATGCAAAACATGAGTTTTGATGCACTTGAACACTTCTGCTTATTGTATCCCTGTCAAAATTCACGTTTCAGATTTACAAAAACAAAAATCACCTTTATACTTCTGAAGAATATATTTGAACTAAACACAAAACAATGCAAAATCTAGGTCATAAATACAAATGATTCTTATCCTATAAGGATGTCCACGTGTGCTCAAGCTTTGCATGTTGTGAATGTACTCCATCAAGTAATGCATTGTGAATGCAGACATAAGTCAGGAAAAACTTTATATGATGATTTGAGTTTTATTTCTAATAAAAATGTAATTCTTAGATGATTTTGGGTCTTATTTTTTAATGGAAAATTTATTTTCTTTATGTCTGTTATTTTTTAAATGACAATTGCAGAACACCTGTTGTTCTAGTCAAAACTAGATAATCATCCTTTTCTGTAACTTTACGTGTATGTTGAAAAATAGGACACTTGAAAGGGGGAAGCACTTTAATCCAATTCTGCAACTACTGTATATAGATAAAGCCCATTTCCCAGGCTGAACCTCATCAATGTCAACAGAGTTCAACTTTAGTACACAAGCTCACTGTATAAATATGACTGCAGTTAAAACCACAGAAATGTGCAGTCAATTTTTCTTGTATAACTTATTTTCTCTCAGCAACCACCTTCAGCTAGCCAGAGATCACCTCACTTTCTTCGTTAGCTCTGATTTTTACCAATAAGTACTCTGTATTTGCAGCTGTCTTGAGCACTACTGGTTATGGCAAAGAAGCAGTCTCACAATTTTTGGATGCAAGTGTTTCTAGGTCTGTTTCTAGGCACCCTAACCATGGATTTTTTGTCAAAGAATGGTCGTATATATTCCAGCCTGACCTTTGATTATGCAATTGTTTATACTACTATATAATACAAAGTTATGTAAATGCTGTCTTTTGGATCAAATGTACTTTATGAATTTGCAAATAACCTTGCGGTTTTTGTCTTTTCTTGTCTCCATTAAAAGACACAAAACCATGTAGCTATTAAAATTTTTGCTTGTTTCTTGTTTTTCCTTGGTGGACTATATATATATATGTGTGTGTGTGTGTCTTAAATCTTCAGATTTTCTTTTAAGATTTTTCAGGATTATTTATCAATAAGATTTGGATATTTATTTTACTTCCATATTTTTAAATAAAATCTCTGCTGAAATATTCCCTTCTGCCTTAGCTCCTGTCATTAATCCCTCTACCTTTTCAGTACCTGTTATCTGGAGCATTTACTACTTAATCCAGTTTATTCCTCTGTTGTTTGTGCATCTGGTGAACCAACATTAACATTCCCAAATTAAGACATGTTATTGTCATTCTGTCGGGTGGTCTGTTGATACTGAACATGATGACACTTGGGAGGATGTCTGGTCATGGTTGGTTGAAAACAGGATGGATGTATTTTCCTCAAGCTGTGATGACTTTCCTAAAACACAGCCACAACCATCTAACATGATGTTTCTTTTCAAAAAGCATTGATGTGGGCTAGTTATCGTATTCTCTTGATCCATATAATTTCTAATAAAGTTTTGGAACAGAAATACTGGCTTTAAAAGGCCCTGCCAAGGCTGTTAAACCTTCAGAAGCATTTACTCTAGGGTTTGTATTCTGTCAAGTAACTGGTGACTTGACTAATTTGAATTATAAAACTAGAGGAAAATGACTGCTGTTTACTCTTAGCTGTGGTTTTGCACTATGTGAAAAAAATAATTGCATGGATCTTTAAATTATGAAAATTGTATCTGATTCTGCAATGTATCTGAGACTGCAATGAAGTACTGATAGCCCATACTTGTTCTAAACAAGCTCAACAATGTACCTGATCCAGTACACTTACCCTCAGGCTAAATTATCCCTCTGATACTAAATATAAATAGGCCCCCCTGCTGGAGAAAGACTGCTTCCAGCTTTCAGGCATGTCACTGCAAAAATGGCTCAATGACTTATTAAAAAGAATGACATGTAGTAGATCCCCAAGGTTTGTGTGTTGAGAGAGAGAAGGTGGTGGCAGGAATAGTTGTTGCTGGGAGACTGTCTCTGGAGAAACCAAACTTCAAGTTCCTCAGGTGTCAAAGTGCTGTGCAGTAGCTCAGCAGCTCATTGCAACGTACTTCAGCAGACATTTCAAACTAAAAATGCTCTTCCAAATTGAAAGAAATGCTACCAATTGTTACTTCAGCATTCACTTTTTGCTATTGATATATTTTTTATAAATTTAGGGCTTTGGAAAATCAGTTCCCAGAGGTGAATGCATCTGAACAATTCCTTTGTTTTACAAAATATTTGTTTCTTGCTTTTACACATGTAAGATAATAATCAGTTTTTTCATTATAATCTTCATTGTGAGAAATCTAAATCTGTAGTTTTAAATTTTAATCATATTGATTTTCTAGCTGGAAAAATAGTGGTAAAATAGGTTCTCATTGCCATTTTAGGATGACCTGAGCAGATCGATATAGCATGAGGGATTTGAAAAATACAGTTTGCCATCTTTATATCTCTTTAAATAAATAAATATGCTGTAGTATTTTTAGGGTTCAACGTTCTTTTTTCTTCCTAGAAGTTTTTTATAGTGTTGCTGAATTATTTTGATTACTATATCACAGCACAAAATCACTCTTGATTTTTCTACTGAGTGACAGTGACCAGGATGTGGCTATTTCCAGGGACATAGCTTTATGTAAACTGTTTACCTTGTAAGACTTGTAAAAAGCAGAAATTCTGTACTCATTGCCCCAAACAATTAATGAATATGTATGTTCACATTAGATCCAGGAACAGTATGTTGTTGTCAGAGTACCCCCTCAGGGACTTTTACACGCTTCAGATGCATAATACAATTGAAGCTCTTTCATTGTGAGAAAATAGGTTAATGACTCGCCAAAAGGCAGATGTTAATTGGAAAAAGTGCATACAAGTCCTTTTCTTTACAATATATATGGGTTGCATTTGTTAAGACTTGCATCTAAGAGCAGGTGCAATTTCAATTGACTCAGCTAACAGGATGTGCTGAGTGCACTGCTCACCAATTTCACCAGAAATTTTAAATCCAGCAGAAAAAAAGTTTCTAAACCAGTCAGTGAGCAATAAGCTGCTTTTATTTTCTGTCATAAAGCATATTTATAACTTAATATTGTACCTACAATTAAACATCTTAATAATATGAAAATAAAATTTTTGATTTTTTATTAATATTATAAAATTTTACTGGTGGGCACTGGTACCTTACATGATAGAAAATATGTCATTCTTTCTAAAGTATTTTTTTAGGACAGTCAGCAGTTCTAGACAAGGTACCACCAGTGTAATTATAAGTAAAACTTAAAGCAGAAGGATTGTCTTTTTTGCTAATACATTTCCTGCCATGAGGCTATACTATCAGGTCAAGGTATTTATCTTGCTTTTCTTCATTTTCCCACAGTTCAGAAGCAAAAGGTAATGAAACAGATGGAAAAAAACTATCTGGAAAAAACCCTGTGTCAGGGTCAAAAGGGCTGCTGTTGGATAGTTTAATAGTTCTGAGGTCTCTGGGAATTTCTACGCTACTCATACAAGCCCACTGGAACATGCTTAGACTAACCTCATCCTTCAAAAGTCTGAGGAGGGCTGGATGTGAAATTTCTCTGCCTGGGCTGTATCAACAGTCTAAACCAGTGCAGGAAAAAGTAGTTCAAGATGGCCCATTGGCATTAATGAGACTGCTGGTGACTGGGGTTATATGAATTTCCCATGCCTGTAGCAAGGACCTGCTCAGTGCACTTGCAGAAGCAGGAATGGACTGTGAAGAAATACTGAGACAATATAGAATTCTGCAGCTCTCAGTAGCAGTTAGGTTTGTAAGTCTATCTATGGCCTGCGTCCTTACAGACCTGGTTAAAAAAGAGGGACCTTGTTTCTCTTCAGAGCCCCTAAATAAGGAGTCAGTTGCCAAAGAGAAAGACAATCACTGACTGTCTTTTTTCATCCATTTGTGCTTTGTAATGTAATGAAGTAGTAGCTCTGTCTTGGGTTTTTATCTCCTCCTAATCCCCAGAGGAAATCCCTGTTCCTCTTACAGAGATAAAACCTTAGGACACAGAAGGTAGCAAGAGCTGGGATTCTCTATGCTAAAGGGTGTCACTAAACCCTCTTCTGACCACAGCAATGAAAACCAAGGGCCTGCAGTGCTCACTCCAACACCTGTATTGAATGTCAATTCTCCCTTAATATTCAGGAAAATATTCATAAGCAAAGCATGTTTGTGTAAATCTGCTGTTTACAGGGACTTCATGAACAAGTGTCAGAGAGACACAAGTCTGCGAAGGTCAAAGCAG